GAGCACTGCACGAGCACGCTGACGTGGTGCAGCCACCCAGCCTTTGGTGAAGCTTTGGCAGAAGAAGTGACTCTTCAGGAACTGGCTGGTGACCATCAGCTGTGTAAATCTCCTTGCAGTTAATTCTCTATTCCACAAGATGGAGCCAGTTATTTGACAAATACAGTCTGTCAGCCAGCTGTGCTCTATGGAGGCAGAGCAGTGTACTCCTAGTCGGTGACATTGGAGCAAAGGGAAGAGCCACGGAGCCGGAGTCTGGCAGAAGATATGGATGGTGCTGGCCTGGAGAAGTTTGCTGTGGACTATTTTGAGATGCACAGGAGTTAGTGCTCTGTGACCTGTAACATTTGCCTGCCTTTCCTTCTAGATTTTATTTTATTTTTTTAATATATCTGTGTGGGAAGTGCTCCTGCCCTAGCCTTGGCTAAGCGTGTAGCTGTACTTCGACTTTGGACCTGCAGGAGCTGATGGACCTCGGCCTGCGGTACCTCATGTAAGGCGCTGGAACTCGTCCCGTTTAAATAATACGGAGGAGAAACATACCATCAGAAATCATACCCTGGAAAGGGAAAAGTGGGAAGATCTTTGAAAGCTGTTCAGGGAAAGCATCTGGTTCAACAGAAAAACACATGAAAATGATGGCTATTTTTCACAAAATTCATACTTTGAAATCATCTTAGAATATGCGTCGTGTGAAGACAGATCACTTCAGCAGCTTAAAAATTGGATGAAAATCAACTTATGTGAAGATTTGTGTTTAAAATTGTCAGTGGCTTTCAGGCGCTTTATTGCTTTTTAAAAGCAGCTGAATTCTGATGTTGAGATATTCTCATCTTTTGGGAGCTGTGGATGTTTTTGCAAGCAGGGAGAAGTTCTGTGCAGTAACTAGTAGGGGCATGGATGTTTACTTGAAAAGGGGGGAAAAAAAGCTCCCCAGTTAGTTTCTGAAATTCCCAAGTTACCTGGCAATTTCTAGCAAGAATACTTGAGACGTGTCAGGAAATGTGGAGCCCTGTGGCTGTACTAATTTCATTCTAAAAGTCCAAATGGTCTCTAATAAAAGACTGCTTAAATACTTGAAGTATGTCGCGGTCAGTGGTGTTTCTGTGCATCTGGTTAATTTCTAGTTTCTGATCCCAACCTGACCCCATTCCTGGATGTCGGTGAATCCGGCTGGCTGTGGCTGTGGCTGACCCCGGTGAGCAGCCAAATGTGCACCCGAGCTCTCACTCCCCTCTCCTGTGAAATGGGGACAAAACAGGAGGGTGAACAGACTTGAGGGTTGAGACAGTGACAGCTGAATAAGGAAAGGAAAAAGCCCTGTGCACAAGGGAAACTGAGGAGTTCATTCACTGCTTCCCCTCGGCAGGCAGCTGTCCGGCTGCTTCATGGAAGGCAGGGCCTCAGTACACATATCAGCTGTATGGGAAGACAGACCCTATAACCACGTATGTCCTCTCTTCCTCCTCCTCTCCTGGGGCTTTTCCTGCTGGGTGCAGTGGCACAGTGCAGGATGTGGCCCAGAGAAAGCTGGCTGGCCCAGCCACAGCCAGCCCCGGGGAAATGTCGCTTGCTTTTTTTCTGGTTAACATCCAGGAATCCAAATTAATTTATGTGAATGTGTAACATCACAAATATAAGTTTCTGTTTGGGTTTTATGAAGTTTGTGAAGCTTAAATTTCAAATTGAAATTTTATCCCCTTTCTGCTTCTTCAGCTACAAATACAACTAAATCGGCACGATAAGCCATGTGTGGTTGTATTTGGTACTGGTTATTGTTATGGTTACTTGTTAATGTCAGACTGTCCTAACAAAGACTGCCAAATGTTCACAAGAATAACCTAGTCTTGGTAAGTTTTCTAGAAAATAGCAGGTAGCAGCTGGCCTTACCTAACTACCTAGTAAGAACTGAAAAGTAGACTTAAGTCTAATCAATAGACAACATAGAAGAGGAAAAGTTTAAATGAAACAAATAGTTCTTACCTTTGAAGCAGCAATCTGCCTTTGGATTAGTGTTTCCTTGGGTGTACCCAGATAGTGTTTGAGAGGCTTCATGGACTGCTGGAAGGGGCCACCGTAAGCACATTGCACTAAAAGTCTTGTGGCTTTTCTACCTGCTGTTGTCTAGCCAGTGATGAAAGAGGCAGAAGATATTTTTAAGCAGTTAACTGTATCTTAAACGGCAGAAGTTATTTGAAGTGGATTTGGTATCAGAAATGGTACCCTGATAGCAGCAGCACAGCAAGTTGGTGAAGTTCAGCCCAGCCATTCCAGTAAGAAGCTTGTATTAAATGGCTTTCAAAAGAAGAAAATTAACTATTATTTTAAAACCTATACCAGATAACATTTCCTACTAATGTTGGCCAGCTGGAGTTGCACTATATCATGGCAGTTCTTGACAGGTGAGGTTGCTTTGTTACTGCCATGTGAAGGTGTTTTAGATAATGTAAATTAGCAGTTTTTAGTTTTTTTTTTTTTGAATTTCTTAATGTTCAGTCTCCACTGCTGAAGCCAAACTCCTGTTTTCTTATGTCAGTAGCAGAATATGTACAGCAGATAAGCTAGCTTACTTTGCTAAATTTGTGAATTGTTTATTGAATCAGTCCAATTTACCCTTGAACGTCTCTGACACAGAAAGGTTTGCAGGCTGCCAGCTTCCTGGCGAGGCTGAGCAAAGCTCAGTGGCATAAAGCACACAGTCGGAGTGGTTCATTTTGTTCAGACTGCCCTACTGCACATACAGCAAGTGTTTTGGTGCCCATACAGACAAATTATTTTAAAACTTCTCTTTTCTGCTGCTTACTGTGACATAATTGATTTGTATTAATTACTTTTTATTTGAAATATTTAATACTGCACATTGTCACTAGTCTGAAATAAATTCAGGGATTACACATATGCATTTTGATCTGGCCTCAGGTTTATTAGTGTTATGCCACTGCTCAGTTTGTTACTCTGTTGCTCAGTGAAGTTTTATTTCCCCGAGTTATTCAGAAATAAGTAAAAATTAATGAACTTTGAGCTTCTGGGAAAAAACAAAACCGTTCCTCTCCAGGAGAAGAATAGCTGTTACGTATTATATGATCTTACTGTTTGTTAGCAGTTCTAAGCTAAGCTATTAAACTACCAAGTTAGCAGTCTCCCTCCTCGTTTGTTAAAATAGATTTTGGTCATGTTGAAACCTCATCCCAGTCTTGCCCTGTTGATGTATATGGGGACTATAATAACTGAGAAAAATCTGAGGAATAAACTAGATAGGTGACCTAAAACTGGACAAGCAGTTGGGTGCACAAGACCTTGCTGTAGTTGTTTTAAACCATCTTGGCTATATTCAGCAGCTGCACAAGCTAAGGTACGTTAACCACAGTGGAGTATTTGTAATAAGTTTCATCTGGTGCATAACTTCAGCTGAAACTTGGTTAATATCTGGATGCCTGCATCCTGCACATCCTGGAGCACTGTAACTTGTGGCAGTGCACATTACTAGTGGGGTCCTCCTGCACGTTGGGATCTCTATGGACTGATTGAACGGGGTGCTTTGTGTATGGAGTATTTTATGGGGGGAGCGGCAGGTCAGGAGGCTGCTAGCTTTTGAGCTCTTTTCAGATGTATATTGCAAATAGTTTGACTGTTAGTTCATACCTGGTGAGTATTTCTGTAGAAGTGTAATTTGTGCAGGGTCAGTTTCAGTGAGTAATGGTTAGCTCTCCTGACCCCTGAAATCTAATTTTATCACCGTAGCACTTCTTTGTAAAACTGCCAGTCACCTGAATCACTTTGGTCTTAAGGGTCAAGCGCTGGACATCAGGGGTCTGACTTGTTGAGGTCATAAGCAAGACAAATTAAAAGCAGAGTGGCTACTCCTGCTGTAGCTAGGAAGAGGAATGCCTCTCACAGTAAAGCCAGGGCCCTTTGTATGTGCTAACAGTGTGTTAGTGGTGTAATGCAAACTGCTGCAGTTATGGTAATGGTTTGGGTGCCCATCTGTCCTACAGAAGGGAAAGTGATTGCTCCAAACAAGCTCCAGCTCTTCAATGTGTGTCTTCTTTGCTTCTGGGTGTTAATTATTTGATCACTTTAATTGTGTAGAGTTCAGAACTAGATGGAGTTTAAAACACTGCCTTTAATACTGGTGGTATTCAGAGCTGAAGTAAAACAACCTAAGTGAGAGTCACGGAATCACCCCAGGACGTGGTTGGCCCTTTTGGCTTCCACGGCACGCTGCTGACCCGCAGTTCAGTTTGCTGTTGACCAGAACCCCCAGATCCCTTTCTGCAGGGCTGCTCTCCAGCCTCTCAGTCCAGGTGTAGAATTGGGCACTTGCTCTCATTCAACTTCAGGTGCTTGATGATTGCCCAGCCCTCTTAATTTGTCTCAAGATCTCTCTGCAAGGCATCTCCACCCTCAAGAGAGTCAACAGCTCCTCCCAGTTCAGTATCATCTGCAAATCTACTTAGTATGCGTTTGAGTCCTGCGTCCAGATCATTTATAAAAACATTAGAGAGAACATTAAAGGGCGTTTGACTCGAAGTTACTGCAGTCCCAAATATCCCAAGTGTCTGTGAGATTTCAGGTCAGCGTATCCTAGGTCTGTGTCAACATGTTTCTCAGCTGCATTAACAGTGATAAAGTTCATAAATCATCTTGATTCTATAGGAAAATTCATTGGGCTGTGAATGGCACCTCATTAAGTAGTTCAGACATCAAGGGGACTGAACATATTTCATTTTCCACTGTACTTTGTCTTGGGTATTTTGATCATTTGGCTGTGTAAATCTCTGTATAATCATTCCCTAAAAGCTTGTACGCTACTGTTGCATATGTGGGGTATTAAAGGATTTGGTGCATTCGCATATGATTGCTCTGCATTTTATTTCAAGTTTGGTACAAGTGCGTGTCTTAGGTTGCTTTTAATTGGAGAGAACAGAGTCATGCCAAAGAAGATCTTCGCAGTATATGGAATTTTGAGAATAACTCATGTATTTCCCTATTTCCTTTAGGTCCAAGATGGGCTTCCTGGAACACTGGTGTTTTCATTTGCATCAGATGTGCTGGAATACATCGAAATCTTGGGGTCCATATATCAAGGGTCAAATCTGTCAACTTGGACCAGTGGACACCAGAACAAATACAGGTAAAATATTAGAATGTTTCCAAATTGGAAGGAATTCAAGGAATCCTTTTCGAATGATTGAGTTTGTCATGAATGTTTTACAGTCGAAGTGGAGAGACAGGAGAGCTACTGTGATTTTCAAATGTTTAAGGGCAACTTTAACTGTCTGGCAAGGTAACTTAATAATCCTATGTGCACAGAAAAGCTACATAATCAAAGAAAGATGCCTCCAGTTTTGAGGAGGTGTATTTAAAGAGTATTTATTCTACTTTCCTTTTTCCTTGAATCTTTCAAATGTGTTTCTATATAAATAAAATATTGAATGTACTCTCTAGCTCTTCTGATTCATTGTAAAGAGACTGTGTCCTTTATAGATATTGCAAGCAATTTTTTAGGTTTCATGCCATAGGACTGAGCAGATTCTAGTCAGCTACAGTCTATTCACAAATACCTAATGTATTATTTAAACCTTTTTTTATATATAATCTTGGTACACAACTTGAATTACTAGAGCAGGGGATCAGAAATACTCATGTTCACATGAATCTTTATTATGCTGAATGAGTTTGAGAAGCTGAAGCTTGTTAAATGCTATAAATTTGGGACATCTGAGTTCTTTTAAACCTACAGCATCATTTAAGCACGCCTTTAGCATTCTGATGGTCATGATGTGAAGTATAAATGGTCAAGAACTAACTGTTTTCTATCACTTTTCCTTAGTGCATGCAGGAAATGGGAAATACTAAAGCAAGACTACTCTATGAAGCTAACCTCCCAGAGAACTTTAGAAGACCTCAAACAGATCAGTATCCTTTTTGCTTTAGTTTTCACATTGAAATGACTTTAACTGCTATTTAGACATTAGGACTATTTCAAGAAAAATCTACTTTTGCTATCTTGTTATTTTGTCGATACTGTTGTGTAAGAAGTAACAGTAGAAGTTGGGTACGGTTCAGAAAAGGTTTAAATTACTTCAGTTATAGCAAATCTACTTTGTAATGAGATTTGGCAAGCCCCATTTATTTTTACTGTCAAAAGAAGTGACTTCATAAATTCCATATATGTAAGAAGTTAAGAGTGATACCAGAGAACTCTTGATTCTGTCCCTGTCTTGAATAACTGCCAGCTGAAGTTAGAAGCATTTGAACAGGAAATAATGAGCTGAACAGTAGAGAAAAATAAGTCATTGGATCCTATGGAAAGTGAAGAACAGATTTCTTCCTCTAGATTAAGATTAGTTCAGTTTTCTGAAGTTCGAGTGTGTGCAGTGTATGAACTACGTGAGCATAGATGGTAAGTATGGGAATATCTGAATAAACCAAACATCTCTGACAACTGCCGTTTGTGTTGGTGCCTGTTTGTCACCAGGTACCTGGAAGGGGAGGGTTGGAGGAAAAATTGTCTGCCACTGATGGAATGGCTTTACTCAAAAATTAGCTTTCTGGAATGTACTGAATCCTTTGGATAATTTATAGTAGCATTAACCTAGGTTTGTATTAGCCTCTGATTTAGTGATGGCACTCCGCAGGTAGGATTTGCTTCACCTGATCTTACTGGAACTCTTAACTGTAATGAGATACTAAACACTTACTGTTAAGTGAGCTGAATCTTTTCCCAGCTCTCTTAACCTGACACAGGCTATAGAGGCTGATAAACTGACTTAGCTGTAATTGGATCTGAATTTTCTTTTTCTATATCCCAAAGTGATCTTGGTTCTTCTGTTTATTAGATACTATGCTTGATATGTAATGTGCTGAAGATTTTTTTGAAGGGTAACACTCTTCATTTTAATGAGCGCTTGGGGGAAAAAAAATGTTTCTTGACATTCCAGTAGGTTTTGCATTAAATGTACATAAGTTTAAGGAAAAAAAACAACTGGAACCACATAGTACTGTAGTGTCCCAGCTGCAATACTTAGGTTAAAACTTAACAAAAGTCGGTGTATACCTTGAGATAATGATATAGTCTTTTGTCAGTTTCTGAGTGGTTGACTTGGTAAACTGAGTTTATTTAATTGCATATGTCCTCTCATTAAAAATACAGTGCTAGGAAAAATGATGACAGTGTTTTCTGTTCTAATTCTCTTCTCCCTCAATTTTGGCAGCTACTTAGCTGCTCGACATTGGTAATAACTGCTGTGATATGAACTTTTTTGCCATCTTTTTGACCTTTTGTATCAGTACAAAATCATTATGGTCTCGAAAGTATTCTGGTTGTGAATATTCTTAATATTCTGAAGCAACTTTTGGATGAGCCGTGAAAACCCTTCGCCTTACAGTGATCACTTTTGTATATATTATTTTATCTTAGCGTTTAATTTCTTGTAGCACTATAATGTACATTCTTCTACTTTCTGGGTGGTTAAATGGAGGAATGGAGAAGCCTTCAGGGTTGGAATCTGCCCAAAGTCTCCTGATAAAGGTCCCCCAATCACAAGACCTGATCACAAGACTGACCTTTCTGAGCGTTTCTTGTACCTGACAGGGGTCCTCTGGCCTGGGAGCTGGCTTTGAGGATCCTCTTGATGTGAACATTAGTTTACTGTTTGAAAGTGGTTTTGTTCTAAGAGTAAATTAATTTCCCCCCTTTGTTTTACTTGTCTCTTAAAACAGTTTTGGCATCTGTTGAGGTTGCATTAAATTACTCTGCTAGCAAGGACATGGTGGGTTCCTGACGTAAGGGGAGACATCATTCAAAACTTGGCATACATTAACGTGGGTTATCTTCAGTAAAGTGGTATCTTTCAAAATGCACAAGTTCATACCCCAGTGTAATAGAATCCCAAAAAATTAAACCTTCTGAAATCTAAAAACTTCTGATTGTTTGGTATGTATAAAGAACAACATATGTATAGCTTAGCTTGGTGCTAACATTTTAAAGAGCTCGGGATACCCTTTAGAATGTAGATACATTTGAAAGGAGTAAGAAAATAATGTTTTCTTTTTGCAGCTTTTTTTATGAGGCAAGTGTTTAGGTGACACTTGCATGCCTTTGAAACTAAGTATTATTGTTGAAGATAAAACTTTATGTATAAAAGGAAGTAACTGAGTGCTCTGAGCTCAGTGCTAATCTTAAGAGATAGTACGGGGAACTAAGGTACCTTTCCCCTGATTGAGGAAAAAATGGTATGGGAATTAAGTTGCAATGAACCTCAGCTTTCACTGCTGAAATCTTGATTTCTGAATGGATAATCATATTGCCAAATAGATAAGTAAAAATGTAAAATTTATTCTATAGATACCAGAGAGTCAGCTTTACTAAAATTCAAGTATTTACTCTGCTTTGGATGAGCTGCTTTATTAAGCTGAGATAATACTTGAAGAAAATAACTATTGTCCTTCCTGTGTTCGAGCTAGCAAGTTGTCTGTTCTGGTCTTCCATGTTCGGATGCTTGCTGTTATTTCCACCTGTGGTTCAATACCTTTTTATCACTATTGCTTTAGTTTTCTCTCCCTTCCACAGAGATGTTTGTTGTAGTGGAATATTCTTATAGAGGACTTGCTGATCCCAGAGGACTTTTTATGATCAGCTTTCGATGCATGTTAGAATTTGTGCAAATCAGGAAACAGGTACATACATCTCACCTTTTTTTCTGAAGAGAGAGCGTTTTTTCCAAGTTATGATGATAAATGATCCTTTAATTATTTACTGTATTTACTGTGAGTACCTTTGTGAGTATTTGCAGTGCTACAGTTCTGCAGCTTATAAATACCAAGTGCAAATATCATAACTGTGAAATGCTGGGTTACTTCTAGTATATCTTTCTGATACTTCATTAAGAGGTGAAAATGACTAATTTTCTGCAGTAAAAAGCAGCTCTTTTTGGACAATACAATAGCAATTGATCTGTGCAGAGTAGTTTCTGTTCCGTTGTTTTGAAGTGACAAAATGGGTTGGAACAAAATCTGCAGTTCTTTAATTTGAATAACCTGTCAGCCGTTTAACTTACTGTCGCTATTTATCGGAATGCGTATTTTCCTTAAACTAGCTGTTTCCAGAGCTGTGGAATTCTTCATCAGGGACAAGTATGAAAAGAAGAAGTATTATGATAAAAATGCAGTAAACACCTTCAATGTAAGTAAACAGTTTCACTTTTCTTACTTGAGAGCTATATGAGAGAAATGTAGAAAACATTACACACGTTAAAATGTCTTTCAGAGTAGAAAACTTTTTGATACAGAGCTAAATGCTTTCTTTTATCTGTTGAAATCTGTTCCTAGATTCTGTAAGTACAACATGCATTGTCTATTGCATTTTTAACAGCAAACTGTTGGATTGTAATAACTTTCTTCAAGCCTTTTATATTGTGTCTTGTTCTTTCAGTGATGGATAGTTCTTTAACAGCATACTTTTGAGTCCTTTCTGAGTATCTTTTTCTGTCATAGAAATAAAACAAAATTACTGTTCCTGCGTACTTTGGTTTTCCTCTTTCTCTGTATTATCTTGATGAGAGAGGTCCTAAGGTGTTTTGGGTCCCTTTTATGAGGGTTTTGTTGCTCTGCCAAAATGTCAGAACCTTGCTTCCAGTGAGGTGCACTGTAATAGCAAATGAGTAATAAGACAATAAGAAATGAAATAGTCATGCATTCACCAGAGTAAGCTGGTGAGAGATTTCCTTGCAAAGCAGTTTTGAGAATGTCAGTCCTTCCTGAAGTTCAGAATTCATTTGTTTTCTTGATAAAGCAGTTCATGGGGTGTACAATCTAGTTTATACATCTCAATTTTTGTATAGGAACATGTATGTTTAAACTCCTGTATATCTACATTATTTCAGAATGGCCTAACACTAAAAAAATTACTAGCCTGTCTGACTAGGCAGTGGACTTTGTCTGTTGAAATGAGCCTAAGGTTGGGAGTAGACTGTGAATTCATGCTGCCTTTGCTGTTTGAAAAAATGGATCTTCAAAAGATGTTCTTATTTTAGAAAATTTAGAAAAATGTGGAAATCAGAGAAGTGAATTTCATCAAGCATTATTGCAGTAGGGGAAAAGTCGCTTCACTTAAACCACAATTTATATTTTACCTCTTGAATTACTGTTAGCTACCTCTGTTATTTTAATTACAAAGTAGAAAATAGCAACAATCACTTGAAACTAGTATAAAAAGCTCAAAAGACTCGCAACGTGCTTTTAAGCACAAAGCCTAGGTGTCTGGTATAATAGTCTACTGCTTTAGTAGATTTGAATGAGTAATCAGATTTTGCTTGTAGTACTGCAAACTAATAAAAATCGTTTTTGACATAGCATTGAGAATAGAACCCAGGTAAGCTGGAGAGATGCGCGGTACTGCTGAGTAGGGAACAGCATTTTATTTCTTCCTACCTGGACTTTTCTTTCCTTGACTAGTATAAATTGCATTATTTTTCTGATTAGGACCAAAACCTGATTATGAAATACTTTAACAAACAGACAAATCCTGCACACTCACATTTATCTGCTTTTCTTCAGGGCCATCAGACATTGGGTTTGAGGTAGGCAATTTTTTGCTACTGTAGTAGCAAAGTCCTAAAAGCACACAGATTCCCTGAACTAGTGCAGTGCCTGTCATCCTGGTGGGCTGCTTGTTTTCAGTTGCTCTGCTTGGCTCTGATCCCAGCCCAGCTCATGCACACTTGTGTTTGTGTACCTGGTATTCTGTGATCACCTCTTCTGTGGGCTTTGGACGGACAGGGAAGAGGAAGAAAAGGTGAATTGAAGGTGGGCCTTCATATTCTGCATGTCTGATGCACTTCTTTTCTCCTCCTGGAGAGCCTTTTATCAGTATCAGTCTCAGGAGCTGTTGGTTGCGAACAGTTTAATTTGGAGATGCATATTTGTATTGTCATCTGGTACAAGGAGTCCCTTCTGGGTTTGAGCAGGTAAAACAAGTGCAAAAATTGGCTAGCTAGACCTTCAGGGCTGCTTTCCTTAATCAAGTGATTTTGCTGAAGTGGTGTTTAAAACTTCAAGGGACTTCCCTGGATTTGATTCACTGTTAAAGGTGCTTGTGATAAAAGCTTCAAGCAGCATAAAAATTGTACATTTTAAGAGAATCTGTTCAAAACCATACACAATTTTTCATAGATCAGTTTTGGCAAGATCAGAAGCTTTTCAAGTTTGTTAACAGCACAGTGTCTGTGTTAATGTATTCTGTCTGGTGGAGTCAGCAGTGTAAGTGTCAAGACTCCCTTCTTGCTGCTGTGGTTATCAGGATTCTTGTATCAAAATGTTAATTACATGAGGTGACAAGAAGACTGGTGTAGTACTAAATTGAGTTTTGAGAGACCCTTACTATAGTAACAAATTTCTCTAGTGGCCAGACTTGTACTGCCATCAAACACGCAGGCCAAAAACAAGCAAATATGAAAAATTTAATGACTCTTCTCATATATATATTTTTTTCTATTTAGCTTCTGCTAATGTTGCACTATTTGACTTTGTTTTATTCTGATCAGTGGAAAACAAGAACAACAAAACTATGAATAAATAAGCCTGCTATGAGGCGAACATTTTATTTTTTGTGCCCCATGGAAGCATCCTCAGATAGACTGGGTGCATATGACATGGTACTGCGTTTGCACAACTGAGTTTTTTTTTTCCTTTTTTCCTTTCCTGCTTTTTCAAGCATCTGCTCAGGGGCAAGAGCACTTCTTCTCTGCCGCTCCTTCTCGGTCACTCTCGTCCCCTGTGCTGTGGGGTCCCACCCACGGGATGCAGTCCTTGACGAACTGATCCGGCGTGGGCTTCCCACAGGCAGCAGCTCTTCCAGAACTGCTCCAGATATGGGTCCGTACCACGGGTCCATCCCTCAGGAGAAAACTGCTCCAAGCTGGCTCCCCCGGGCAGCAGCTCCTGCCAGGTCACCTGCTCCTGCGTGGTCTGCTCTCCACGGGCTACAGGTCCGGCCCGGAATCTGCTCCGGCAGGGGTCTTCCACAGGCGGCAGCCTCCGTCGGTGCAGGGCCACCTGCTCCACCGTGGTCTCCTCCACGGGCTGCAGCGTGAAACCCTGCTCCACGTGGTACTCCATGGGCTGCAGGGGGACATCCTGCTTCACCATGGTCCTCACCACAGGCCGCAGGGGACTTCTGCTCCGGCGCCTGGAGCACCTCTCCCCCTCCTTCTACACTGACCTTGGCACCTGAAGGTATGACCAACAAGCATGGAAGGAGGCAGTAACTTCTGTAAGCTCCACACAGCCAAATTCAAATCAAGCTGTATAAGCAAGAGCATCTTTTTTTGAAGTTAAGGTGTAGTTTAGGGAGACGTATAATCCTCAGGAATCCTTTAAGGCAGGTGGTTTTCATTTGCAAAAGCAATTATCGTTGAGCCAGCCCAAAGACTGGGAATTTCAGAGTAACTTAATGTGTGTCAGCTCTATGAGGAATCGTTACTGTTGTAATGATCTGTAAATGTGTAGATACAGTTGTAGGATTCTGACTGTGACTAAATTGTCAAGACAGCTGTATGGTATTTATTGTACTCAGGTAAATGTATCCTTATTATCAAAGCATATTCCATGTAAGCAGCATAGCCTGTGACAGAAGTAGGATTTCTCAGGCTGGTGCCCATCATATTTCTCTTTCAACATTAATTAGTCACGCTGGTATAAAAGATTACTACTTCCTTTCTCAGGAAGTACTTCATAGCCCTACTGTGGTGAGACCTTGGTTTGTCAAGATTTCGAAAGACCAGTTGCTTAAGGAAGCCGAGTGTCCATCTGACCGGCTGCCTTCCTGGTTTGCTTTGTTGTGATGGAAATTTGAAACATGCAGGACTTCGTGTTTGTTATGCTTTTATGAGTGCTTGAACTTTAAAACTTGAGAAATAATACAAATAAAATATGAAGCTGACTACTTGGGAGTACATGTTATTTTTGTGTGAATATACTGTCGGATTTGACATTGCTAACCGCAGGAACTTTTTTTGCTTATTGAATAATCACTTTGAGAGCAGCAGTAATTGTTAACAATTTGACTAATTTAAAATACTCCTAACATAATACTGTCCACCTAAGTCTTTTCTGCCAAGCCCCCAAGTTTTTGAGCAATACATAAGCTGTAAAGGATGCCACATGCAATGTGGAATCTATTAAAACAAACTTCACGTAGCAAAAGGATCGGGGTCTATGAATGCAATGCATCTAAGACAGTCATGTTAACAACTTGCTGTGCAGTATGCTGTGGTATTTGACTTGATTTACCCCAAAAGCTTGTACACAGCAACTGAGGGCTTGCATCGCTTCTGTAATTAACTAAAGATACTTATTAGAGGTCAGGCGGTGTGAGGTAATTTTGCATGTTAAAGCAATGTTAAACCTCAAGCAATGTTAAACCTCAATGTTAAAGCATGTGAAACCTCAGGTGGGTGCTGATATGAAGCTGTTCAAGAATATCATTCCACTTCAGACTTGCACCTGAGTTTCACTACAAAGCAAAGGCAAATCCTTCTGTGCTCATCCTGTGGTTTTGCTGTACAGAACAATCCGAGACATGAAGGGTAAAGCATGCAGAGTGGTTTCTCCTTCAGTTGTAAAGACTGTTGCTTAGTAAATCTGTTGTTTGCTGTAGGCTCTCATTAAACTGGTTATGCTCTTTTATTTTTTCCTGGAGCGCTCTTAGGCAAGCACAGCTTACAGTTACACAAACACCTTTCCACAAAAATCTGAACTTGTCTGCTTAAATTAATGACTTGGAGGACTTTGCCAGACTTGTTGCAGTAAATAGAAGTGGAGCAGATGCAAGCCTAGTCAGAGACACGACGTATTCCAAGAGAACATAGTATAAAACTGTCATTATTTTTAGGAGAATAAACTGCCTTACTATTTTTGAGGGCTGTTCCCTGTTACAGCAGAGCATACTTACATAGCTCTAAAGTTGGGTATGAAAGGGGGTTCCTAAATGGGAAAAATACAGAGAAGGCAGCTGACTGTTTTAATTCCCTTGATTTTCAGTCTTTTTTTTTTTTTTTTTTTTTCTGGTTGGGCTTTTCTACTGTATTCCTCCCACCAGACTTTAGTACAAGTGACGATAATTCTTCTGTTTCTGTATTTTTGACTTTACTCTTCTATTATTTTTTTTCTGGTGCATATTGGTAT